CCCATGTCACAATGGCGGTGTCCTGACCAGGGTCGGCGATGTAGGTACTCTCAACCCTTGGACATCTGATGGTGGGGCGGTAGAATTTCATGTGCCAAAAGTCTTGAAAATGAAAATATTGGTAAATAAGAGTTTTTCAATTTGACTAAAACATTTCTAAAAAAAATTAATTTATCAAAAAAACATCTTTTACGGAGTTGAGGAACTATATCTGATAATATGTAATTTATTTCAATGTGACATAGGGCTTAAGTTAGTTTTCTTCTGTTTGAGGTAGGCTCTTAAAACCATTTAGTATATTTACGCGACTGAAATATTGTAACTGAAACCATATCATCATTCAGAGGAAACATGATAATGATGATGTATGATTACAAGAATCTAAACGGTTTGACAAGTTTAGAAAGAATAGTTTTGTGTAAATAAGAGAGGTGGTTGGCAAACGCTTACGTTTATTCCTCCGATGACAGCCGTAGCATGCCCATGTCACTGAAAAGACGAATGACTATTGTGAGAATATGACTGAACATCCATAAAGAATCATAGTTAATGAAATTTTATGTTTTAATATATAAGTTAATATACTCATGTCAAAATGATGATTTCGTGTGTAATGCTATACCTCTATAAACCGGACACCGTGAAACCGAAAAATTCGCAGGATTACTGTTATGAAAGTGATCTGTTGTCGGAGATTTCCTGTTGATATAGAAACGGGTTTTGTCGCTTAAATAAATATACCAATTTCCGCGGGGGATGCGTCACTCTGGAAATTTCCGTTGAACATTCATATGATTTTCACAGCTATTTTGCTCTTCACAGCAAAAGGAGTGTTTCTGTGGATGTTCAAAACTCTGTATTCTTGTGTACTGTCGTTTAATGTTGTATTAAGGCGATATCCCTGCGGGCGGATTCCTCGAATGAAATAACTGCCACTGATGGCAATATTCCAGCCATATAATAATGGCCTGTAATTAATCGAATTTGGACCAGACAACCCAGTGATGAAATTAACACTGTATAGATACGATGAAACGCATATCAATCAAATAATCGGGCAGGACCACCCGATCCCTTTTGAAGTTTTATTAGACCAGCATATTACTGAATATTGGGGCCGGCGGGGTAGTCTAGTGGTTAAAGCGTTCGTTCGTCACGCCGAAGTCCCGGGTTCGATTTCCCACATGGGAAAAATGTGTGAAGCCCATTTCTGGTGTCCCGCGACGTGATATTGCTAGAATATTGCTAAAAGCGGCGTAATACTAAACTCACTCACTCCATGATTTTCGTTAAACGCAACAAATGACATCGGCTGATCAAAGCTCATTGACTTAGTTGATGCATGTTATCGTATTCCAGTTGCGTAGATCAAAGCTCATGATATCAATCACAGGATTGACTCAGTTCAGACTCAGTTATTTTCATCCATCGCAAACTGGAATGTTACTGAGTGCGGCTTTAGACAACAAAACAAAACAACCCAAACAAACACACTTACCTATTTTAAGAAGAACATTTATATTGAGTGAGTGAGTGAGTGAGTGAGTGAGTGAGCTTAGTTTAGTTTTACGCTGCACTCATCAATATTCCAGCTATATGCCGGCGGTTCTGTAAATAATCGAGTCTGGACCAGACAATCCAGTGATCAACAGCATGAACATCAATCTACGCAACTGGGATACGATGACATGTGTCAACTCAGTCAGCGAGCCTGACCACCCGATCCCGTTAGTCTCCTCTTACGACAAGCATGGGTTACTGAAGATCAATTCTAGCCCGGATCTTCACAGGTAGACCATTTATAACAAATACCTTCCACTTCATACAATCTGCAAAGTCCTCTACAGACGATTCCCTTTATGTGGATGTGTACCTAGCAGGAACATCCGTTTGAATGTCAGATTTACAGGTCAGTGTATGTTCATGACGTTGTTAGCACTTTTAATAGGTGTGTATGCACAAAGGTTGCCTTAACCCAGATGTCATATCACAGAGTTATAAGCGTAACCTGTTTACAAAGGTGTTTGATTCATATATTGTCGTCGTAAGACACTGCGCTATTGGGATATTAAGTTGGAGGGGAACCACCCGTAAAGGAAGGTAACAACTCCTGGTAAACAAAGCCAAAGTCTGGTAGCAGAAACAATTTTATTGACAGGGACCCTAATCTAATACATCAGACATGCAAAAATTTCTAATATCATTCCGTTAAATGTATAATTTTTCTCTCCCGTCGTTACATCTCTCAATCTCAGATCTTGTTTTTAGGATTCATCGTATTCAATCCAGCTTTCAAGTCTAACCATTGATTTCATTAATCATTCATTCAACATCTTTTGTACATTGCCGATAGTATTACGTGTAAAGTATTCGCTCTCTTGATTCAGCTACTGAGTGGTTTTCCTTTGCAAATGTGTAGTCTTGTCAGATGACTTAGTGATTAACCAAAGTCTTGAGTTAGAAGTTTTCAGACAAGTGTAGTCAGTCCTCTACATGTCTTTGCTGGGGTTGATAAATCACCGAGCCTCTGTCATCCTTTGTACCACTGTGTGAGAGGGAGGTCGGAAATGGGTTTGGGTCGAGATAAATAGAATGAATTCTTTATTATGAATTAAAAACTTCTTAAATTTGATTTGACGCTATACGAATGTAGTGCAAGAGTGAGTGAGTTGGGTTTTACGCCGCTTTTAGCAATATTCCAGCAATATCACTGCGTGGAACATCAGAAATGGGCTTCACAAAGTGTGCCCATATGGGGAATCGAACCCGGGTCTTCGGCGTGACGAGCGAACGCCTTAACCACTAGGCTACCCTACCGCCCCTGTAGTGCAGGAGAGCGCAGAACACGACTCAGGTATACATGTCGTGAAGAAATATGATCAAGAAATATAGATATAAACATCGGTGATTACAGAGGTAACGGAAAGCACGTCTAATTGTATAAGGAATGGGAGTGTGGCTACAGTGTATGCAACATGGTGGATTGGAAACTGAGGTTTAAAATTAGAAACTGTCTGGACAACAATTGGAAGGGATAACGGTTTGACGCTGTCATTTTTTTTTCTCAATAGCACCGGGCGGTGGGGTAGCCTAGTGGTTAAAGCATTCGCTCGTCACGCCAAAGACCCGGGTTTGATTCCCTACATGGGTACTATGTATGGATTCCATTTGCTTATTCCCTCGCCGATATTGATGGAATGTTGCTAAAAGCGGCTCAAACCTACTCTCATTCACTTTCTTAGAACACATTAAGGTGAAGGGCACTTGTTCCATTCTGCACTTGTTCGCAGATGTTACAAGATTTCAAGTACAATTGTGTGTTCGATTCACGAACGTTTTGCTGTCGGTTCGAAAATATTTTTTCAGGATACATCGAATAGGTTTTTACGTTCCCAAGTCCTAAAAACACAGTCACGGTATAGAAAAATACATGCCCTAGCAGAGAAATCAAAGCTTTGAGTGAATTTAACGAAGGTTTGAACGATTGCTTACCAAATGCGAAGAACAGGACGCCACGTAAGAGCATGTTTCTCAGGTCCTGTTTGCAGGCGGTCTCTTTTCGTGTAAGGAATTTAATAACAAAATTTTACTAGTATCAAATAACTGAGTCTGATTGTAAATTCTGAGGTGACCCAAACAAACTATTCTGTGTAGAAATATACAGACCAATGAACAATCTACAATTACAGTAATGTTATGTTACACGAAACAAATCCGTTATAACACTCTTAATATACATCAACACGAGCTGCATGTAGCATAAATGCAGAGCTCCCGAAGTAAAATGTGGGTCTCCTTCATCAAATTACAATCTGGAAGGTCATTATAGTTTCAGGGTACGTGTTTAACTAAAACATATATTTTTTATTGCACGGTCTCGGCAGGTCCAACCCTGGATCACAGTGAGGTGTTGGCATTTCTACAAAACATATGGGTATCTTATTTATCAAACTTCCAAAACCGTCATACGACTCGTGATAAGAAACTGTTCGATCAAGGTTACAACACTCATTGCCTTAGTAAAGCTGTTGAAATATTTTGCGGTAGTCATATCGATAACGTTTCCAAAATGGACACGTCAGTGACACACACGTGAACCATGCATTTATTATGAGGAACGTTTCAGAGAATATCCTTACTCCTTCATCATTCACCTGATTAAGGAGTAAGGATATACTCTCGAAACGTTGTGTTCCTCATAACAACGAAGTTGACATATATCCTTACTCCTTCATCATTCACCTGATTGAGGAGTAAGGATATACTTCGAAACCTCATGTTCCTCATAATAAAAAGTTGACATCCATAAAAAAAACTCTCTTCTTCACCTGATTGAGGAGTAAGGTATCGAAACTTCTAACAATGGCATTCAAAAGACCTGATACTTTAAAGGATATACTTCGTGTTTCATAATAAAAATTTGAACGACAGCGTGTATCACTTTAAATGGCAGTAACACTTTCAACGGTTTTTTTCGAGAGGTTTCAACCGAAATATAATGAAAAACAGAATGTTTCATCCTGAATCCATCTTGCGAATGTATTACCAATTGATATTTGTCCAAGGTTACAACACTGTGCTTGTGAAACAGATCCTGGGTACCATTGTACAAAGCCACCTCAGCGCATCTGATCGTAACTCCCATACCTCAAGAATATATTTACAACAGTCGTAGCCCTAAGGCTACTTTGTACAACGGCACCCTGTTGACGAGTGTCGTTAGTAACGGATAGCTTTCCGTTTCATAATTTAAAAAATACGTACGTCACAATAATGGTTTGTCTGCTTCAGGTTCGAGGATATATATCAGGTTCGAGGATATCTCGCCGTCATACAGTTTAAAATTGATGTACAGCATCAAATGACATATCTATCATCACCACCCTACCAACATACCACTAACATAAAATCTTACAAATTTATGTTAAACTGTCAAGCGGTGGTAAAGGGTCTCTTCACTGATAAAGACTGTTAGAGAACAAGGAACCTGATATGGAAAATCAAACACATGTCGGCTTAGTAGCCGAGTCTTCATCGGGAATGTCATGTTCTTTCGGCGAGAAGCCGAATCGACGTAGAATTCCTTGATGATAAGAAAAACAGGGGGAACACCATCCGTTACATTTCCCATGCATCAGCGAGTGGTTGGACGAGAATATAGTGTCAACATTTCCCGCGAGGGTGCTTTGACTGCTTACTTTGAAACTAGTTCCTTCCAGATTTACTTGCACCGTGCCGCAGTCTGCTCCGGCGTCTGAACTGCAGCCCATAGTACGCCCGTAAGGACCTGGTTTACACGACCATTCAGCAAAGGTGTGGACCTGCTCAATTTGAAGATTGTCCAAGTCAATCTTGATCTTGGTGAAGTTTGTTCGTCCGCAGTAGGAGCCGTAGCATCCTGTTGGCATCACTGAGTAGTTGTCTTCCTGGAAGCTGACGAAGTGTCCAGGAGTATCAGATGACATGTCATGGCAGTAGATCTTCACCCTGGCGTTGTTGTACTTCTCCAAGACAATCCAGTATTCTCCATCATCGTAGGCGTTGTTGCAAGTCTTCACCTGGCTGCAGTCTGTGACCAACACACAAGAGAAGTCCGTCCACGACCCATCCGACTGGCAGACGCGCCTTCCCCGTGGACTAAATGGGGGATCACATACATACTTCACCTCCTCCCCGATCTCCCACACCATCTGACTCTGGGCGTTCTGAAAGCATACAACACATCTCATGTCACATCAGCCCATCTCAGTGCTGAACGAAATTTGTTGGGTCTACGAATTATTATCCTCCGCAACGCGTTTTGCTGGGGAATTACTTTGGATTCCGTCCGTGCTAGCATTGGGGAATTGAGGTATTCTAGCTGCTCGTCCAGAGACAAAGAGTTAATTTCTACTTGTGAGGTTAACTCCTGATGACAACAATATATGCTGTATATTTCACATCAACTGTTTAAGAGCTTCTAGTTCTAAAAATAATATTTCAAAATTAACTGGTAAAACATGGATAGTTCGATAACCATCGTGTACGGACTGTACTTGTACTGTAACTCAATTTTCCCGCCTTGCGGTTGCGCAGAACCACTGCAATCCAGCGTGATAGCTCGTAAATGGATATAAGCAACTTCCAACTTCACACATACAGTTATATTAAGAGCGTAATGTACCAAGAAATTATTTGCTTTCATCTAAAACTATCGTTATAGGCATTTATACGTACTTTCCATGAAGTTAGGTTGATGATAAAAATTGTCAGAACTGTCCGCCATTTTCTATAACTTTCAACTAGCGATGTGAGACATAAGTTTCTGTTTCTGTTACTGTGTCAGTTTGATATGTATTCCATATTGTGTACGATTTAAGTTGTTTATGTGTGTGACATGGTAATATATGTCTTCCTACTTGGGCTATGCGTGGTCTCTAATTTTACTCAAAAGTCACACATACGCCTGTCGCTGTTTTGTAATGATATCAATATCTTGCTAACTTTTCGTATTCTTACATTACATTTCTTACATTTCGTAATCTTTAAGGCATTGAAGATGTATCTAGGTGTTGATAAGAAAAATAAATGCATGAAGTGTTTCTAAACAATTATTTTGTCTCTATCAGTATTATTGTCTATTTTCAGAAAATGCCACCGAAGCGCCCAAAACGACAAAAGCCATTATCAACAAGAAAGATATGTCCTGCTGATATTTTGTTTAATATTTTTTTGCAAATTTGACCGCTATATGACCTTTTATAAACACCGGTATTTCCCCAAACTTTTCTTCTCATAAACCGCAACTGTTATTAGACAAATTACAAATTAAGTAAAGATTCCCATTAATGATAATATTTTCACTACTCTGATTAGACCAATTCGAGTCAACGTTTAAAGTCTGCCATATGTCACATAGAAATATATCATGTATCAAGTCTGAATTCTTTTGGTAGTTAAAAACATGAAAATATTTTACCAGTATTGGCATATTTGTATTTTTGTTTTGTCGATTCTCTTCCAGTTGTGACAAAAAAAAAGCGGAATTGAGTTACAATGAAGGTAAGATCGAAGGTAAGATATGAAGAATTTGTTACTAAGTAACATGTAATAGTTATCAGAAAGTATTCATGGAATTTTCTTTTTCGTTTCAGAATGCTGATCAAGTGTAAATGAATATGACATTTCCTCAAATATTTGTTTAATTTGTCTTGATAATTGTTAATTGTACATTAATCATTGATGTTCAACATTTCAAGTGATCACATTAACTGTTTAGTACTTCACTGAATCATTCATTTCCAGAAGAAATAATAATGTTGAAAGCTTTTTAGCCAAATGGTTTCCTCTGATCCCTGATTTTAACCCTGAATGACTATTAAACAAAAACATATCACTGATATTGATATTCAATGTACAAAGTGTACTATATCGCTATTGTGCCCACTAGCAGCTATGTGCACATATTCCTCTATATGCGGGGCGGTGGGTTAGCCTAATGGTTAAATCGTTGGCTCGTCACGCCGAAGACCCGGGTTCGAATCCCCACATGGGTACAATGTGTTAAGCCCATTTCTGGTGTCCCCCGCCGTGATGTTGCTGGAATATTGCTAAAAGCGGCGTAAAACCAAACTCAGTCAGTCAGTCAGTCCTCTATATACTTGTTCTCATCATGTTTTTATACTCATCACATTGGGAACAATAAAAAACCAAAAACAAAAACAAAAAAACAACAAGTCAATCAATGTTCTAGAAGTGGGTGTGATCCTAGTAGGTTCGGTAATGAGCTGTTTCAACCCGTAAATTGCCTTTAAGGTTTCGATTTTATGATTATTTTCATTTAGGATATCAAGGTTAAAATCACCCGCTATAATAGTTTGCATATTTAAGGACATGGCATTGCATATTAATTGGTCTATTAACTCCCAGTAGGCTTTGCTTTTATCTGCGCCATAAATGGTTCCAATTAAGTATTTTTTGCTTTTACATATGATTTGTATCCATTTTGCTTCTAGTCCTGGTATTGATAGGTGATCCATATATTCTCTTTTATAGGAGATTACAAGAACAGCAGGGGAAAAAACAATTAAATTAAATCATGGATAGTTTGTTATGCGTGTAATTTAAGAGTCAATATAGTGGCAGAGGCTGTAGAACCCCTCGATCAGCACAGACTGGTACAGCTGGAGGTCATCTTCCTGCAAGGTGACTGGGGGCTGACAGGACAGGAAGCAGGATACTATGTTTGCATCAGATCTTGTGTGGAGACTGACACTCAGCTCTGTTGGGTTGATACTGGCGATGTTGCACCACAGAGTGTCTCTCGCAGACTCGTTAGCTACACAGCAACATACAATATGTGTTAACCGGTCGTTGTGATCACAGCCACAGTCAGAACAGGTACCAGGAACTATGTCTGGGTGCCATGCAGAACACATTTGCACTAGGAATGTGCACTTCTTCTTCATTCTTGGCAAGGCCTTTGCAATCTTCCAGGCTGGATGAGGTTTGATGGAAGAATGAATATTCAGAAAGTGCTTGAGGTCTGGATCTGACGACGTCCGGTGCAGCCACTCTTCCTCCACCTGTTCCTGTATAGCTTTCTTCACAGTTCTCTTCCATGATGATTGAGGCATAAACCGATGAGTCTGTAGGAAGGAATGTAGGTGAGGCAGCAGATTATAATGTTCAAGAATTTGGCATATACCCGGAAGGAATCCTTGAGTATGTCCTGTACATTTGTTCTTGAAGGCATGAAGTCTGTTGAGGAAAACATGGTGTGCAAGGAGATGGTGTTGGGTATTGCAGAGGATACCAAAGAAGAACAGCTTTCTCATATGTATTGCTGCTTCCAAAGGGCTCCATCCTATTAATGAGTTACAGATGTCTGTTCTTGTGATCTTGGTAAGCCTTGGCACACTTTTAGGCAGAAACGTTGGGCTCGTTCGAGAGTTATAATCTCGCCTTTAGTAAGGTTACACCACAACTCTGAGCCGAATAGGGCTCTTGGGATGCTTACAGTTCTTACGATGTTTGCACTAGTGATTGGGTTTAAACCTTTGCAGTGGCAGCCAGACTTCATCAGCATCATCGTTGAAGATTTCATTTTGGAGCTTGCACTGACCGTCCTGTCCCAGGAATTGAATTGTGAATTAAGAGTCACACCAACATGCTTGAGTGAGTCTGAGATTGGTATTTCTTTTTGATAGAGGACTATGTTGCACTCCGTCTTCTTTGATTTACCAAATAGCATTACATTGCTCTTAACAGGTGAGAATGTGAATCTCCAATTTTTGCTAAAAGTCTCACAAAGAGCGACCATGTCCTGAAAATAAGATGTGATTGGGCTGATGAAACAGATGTCGTCAGCTTGTATCGGTGCTGCAATATGGAGGTGTAACACCATTGCTCCCTTCTTTGTCGAGTCCAGGGCTTTCAGAAGGTCGTTGATGTAAACGAGATATAATTTTGCCGAGAGCACACTCCCTTGCCTCACCCCCTTTCAAGAGTAAACCATTCTGATGTAGTTCCATTGACCATTACACTGCTCGTCATGCCTTTGTATGTGTTGTCCAGAGCCTTCCATATGGGTTTAGGTATATCTAGCTGGTTCAGTTTCCAAAGAAGCCCCTCGTGCCACACTGTATCGAAAGCTTTGGTGCTATCGAGGAAGACAACTTGAACTTTATCATTCCTCTCCAGGTAATGATGAACTGTTTCTTGCACTATGAAGGAGGTGTGTGTCGAGGATAATCCCTTTTGGAACCCGCACTGCTGGTGATCTGGGAATGTCTTACATTCGTTGAACTGAGAATTCTCTTGGAAATTACCATTTCAAACAGTTTCGATATTACTGGCAGCAAGGTTACCCCTCTATATGAATCCGGAGATGTTCTCTCTTTGTTATGGCCTTTATAGATAGGGACAATTATTCCCCTTTTCCATGGCTGAGGTATGTGTCCTGTTATGAGAATCCTGTTAAAGAGCTCCGAAAGAAAAGTATACAAGTAGAGTCCCCCATATTTCAGGGTGTTTCGTGAACGAGATTCCGTCGATGCCTACTTTATCCTTCAGACTCCTCACATTTAAATGAACAATGTGTTTATAGCTCTATAGAGTAGGCAGTCATCTGCAAATAATCGCACTGACGATTTTACGTGTAGTGGTTAATCGTCGATGTGGATGAGAAACAAAATTGGTCCTAGACAATTTCCTTGAGGTACTCCGGACTCTACGTGTACTGAGGATGATGCATTTCCTTCTACTACCACGCATTGGGTTCTTGTGATTTGATCCATATTATTAAGTTGTTGTTGACGCCGTAGCTTTCCATCTTGTAAATCAGTTTGTTGTGAGGGACTGTGTCAAATGCTTTGCTAAAGTCTAGTATGGCGAGATCGACATAATATCATGGGTTGTAAGTAGTAACTGGGATTCACATGAATGCCTCGAACGGAAGCCATGCTGTAAGTTATTTAAGATGTTATACTTCTCGAGGTGTGACATTGATAAATAATATGTTCCAACATCTTCGCACAGACACAAGTAGTCGAAACTGGACGATAATTGCTAGCTGAGTGTCTATTATAAATGAGCATGTATTTACAAAACCCAACATCTCTATATACACACACAATTAGCCGTGAGGGCATCGGCAAATGAACCAGCCAATGGAAGGCTTTGTTACACTTGAGTGCACACCCACCCGCTTAGACTGGGTTCGGTATCCCGGGTGCTTCGTTTCGAGGGAAGTAAACCCAAGTACATATTATTGCACTTTTGATTTGCGATTGTACGCTTATAATTTTGTTTATATCTAGTTTTCATAATCAGCAATGTATATTACATGTCATGAATAAGTGAAAAAAACACACAAAAAAAACAAACCCAAAACTGTTTAGTACTGGACTGTTAACACACACAAATCAGCTCCTAATTTGTGAACAAGTTTTGTAGTAAACAAAATAACAGTAAGTTTTCACAATTTGATTGAAGACATTAACCCTTTAGTATTGGACTATTAACACATATTTTTCAGGAGTTTACTTCAACTCCCAAACCTTTGTCAAATTTTGCATTGAATGACATACATTAATGAAAGAACATTAACCCTTTAATACTGGACTGTTGACACACATGTTCTGAACTGTAGCTGAGCTCACAATTTGTGGACAAATGTTTAAAGAAAAATAAATGGCTATAAGTTTTCAGAATGTTAAACGATTAAAGGAGAATACGAACGAAAACAAAACTATTCTAAAAAAGTCACATTCCGTGATCAAAATTGAACAAAAACTTTGTAAAATAGCAATAAAAACGCAAAAACGTACTCGTATTTCCGCCTATTACGGAAACACCCGACAGTTAATGAGCAGAGGGGGTATCACGTGACATGACGTCATAAGTGCCTGTTGCTGATGGCTTTCTCTTTGATTTTACCTCACAACTTAACAGTGTCCGTGGATTCTGAAGCAGTAAAAGATGTTCCTGATGTCATTTCTGAAATGGATGTTAGACCGTATCAATACGATCCGATTTTACATCTTGCAAAACAATCTTCCACTGAAGATGAAGAAGAATAATCAAGCGAAACGGAGGCACCGCTTGAGGTCAAAATAAATTTTAAAATAGACCATATCATTTAACAAGATTACTATTTGTCAGCAAAATGTCATACAGTTCCAGCCAGCAAACTCACCCCTATAAATATATGACCAAACACTAAGAATGTTTTTTTTTTTTAAATGTGATTACAGTTCATTTTGTGTCAAATGGGTGACTGTAGGGTGTCTGGGATTTAAAAACAAAATAATTATGCTTCAGACGAGGGAAAATAAAATTATCTGCTTCAAAAATTACACTGGAATTATTTTGTTGAAAAAAGTTAGGATCCTAGTTCTCATTAATAACGTATCAAGTCTCGATACAAGATCCCAGCCTGGTCGAGCAGAGATAATATTCGCGACGCAGATAAGTTATTCCCCGAAAACT